TCTTATTGGCATCGGAATTCAGTGATCTTGGGCTCGTTGGATTTGTCTCGTCGAGCCGCTGGATTCGACTATAAGCTCGTTATGTTTGAAAATCATTTGGCAATCCAAATTGTGGTTTGAACCTTCCAACAATGCTTATAACCCTTGATTTGGATATGTTTGGGCTCGGATTGGGTTGAATTTGGTGTCGTTGGATTCGTATTTCTGAGACGCTCAGTTCGACTATAAGTTTACTGAAATCATAGTTCGAATAGCCCCAATTTTAATTTTGGAAGTTTCCAACTTAATTTTGCATCGATATTCATGTCCGATCAAGATAATTTTTGACGATATATCAATAATATTTATAATAAAAATTTATAATATTTTATAATTTATTACCTTCTATTATTATTAAACTATTAAAACTCATATATAAAAAATATTATTCAATTAAATTAAGGATATTACAATTCTAATTTTCTAACCTTAAAAAATAAAAATTCAAGATCATCCCTATAACCACTGTTCCCATCTTAAGAAAGGGAAGATGCCGGAAAAGTTTATTTTGGTGAACATTTATGTGAAGGGAGTTGTGGCTTAACATAAGATGCATTATTTATGTTGCGTCTAGGAGTATTCGTGGCGGTAGAGAAATATTATATTTAACGTCTTAGCATTGTACGAAGATCCGGCACGCAAGCAGATAAGGAGAGAGGGTCTAGCATAAAATGTATCTACTGTTTGGAAATAAACCACACAACGAAATAAAAAGGGAAAGAAAACATTGTAAATTAATACTGGGATTTAACGTGGAAAAATTAGAAATCTGTAAAAAATTACGAAGCTACACCACACTTAATTTACTATAAAAATTAAGAGAAATTATACAAACTTGTTTCTCTCTCCCTCTCCATATCTCACCGAGCCGTTCGATTCGAGTATAAGCTTGTCAAAATCGAAGACCGTTTGGTAACTCAAATTGCGGTTTGAACCTTCCAACAGCGCTTTGAACCCTTGATTCGGACTCATTTGGGCTCGGATTGGGTTGATCTTAGTGTCGTTGGGTTCGTATTTCCGAGACGCTCAGTTTGACTATAAGCTCGCTGAAATCGGAGTTCGGGTGCTCCCAAAATTAATTTTTGAAGTTTCCAACTAGCTTTTGCCTCGAGATTCGTGCCCGATCAAGCTAATTTTCGCGTGATGTATCAATTTACAAGAGGCCAATTACAAGTATTCTACATTAAAAATGTATCTACTGTTTGGAAATAAACCACGCAACGAAATAAAAAGGAAAAGAAAACATTGTAAATTAATACTAGAATTTAACGTGGAAAAATCAAAAATCTGTAAAAAATCACGAAGCTACACCACACTGACTTTACTATAAAAATTATGAGAAATTATACAAACTTCTTTCTCTCTCACTCTCCATATCTCACTTCATTTATTCACAATATTCTATCTCATAACTAATAAAGAGATACACTTCTAAAATATGAAAAGGGCTCAACCTTCAAGTTAAATATAAAAAACTGTAAAGAAAATTGACCAACCTAACCTGCAACCCGCTCAACTCGCTGCATCGTAGTGCTCCATGCTCTATCTCCATATCAAGATTACAGTGCCACCAAACTGCATCCTACTGCACTACTATGCACAAGTGTACAACATTGCAGGGCTCTAATGCATGGTGCTGCAATATTATACGAGTGAATGGTTAAAAAAATTATGGGGAAGTCCCTCGAATCCCAAACAAGGGGAGGCTCCCCGATGAGCTAGAGCGAAAATTGATATATGAGTCAACAGTACAACTCTAACACTAAAATTATAGTCTAAAAAATAAAGTAATAGAAATTATGGATAATAATTATAGTTTGAAAAACAAAATAATAAAAAAACTATTCTAAATGAAATCTTAACCCCTAATGCTTAAATTAATCATAGATAAATTTCATGATATTTGGCATAATTATTAACGAATGTGTTAGTTTAACATAAACTCTCAAATTTAGACTAGTAATAGTTTTAGTGGTACTTTATATGCTACAAAATTTCGGTTATGAAAATAGATCATCTACACAGCTCATCTTAGCCTGTTGGTTGAGAGCTTATGCTTCCAACTAAGAGGTCTTGGGTTCGAGTCTTTGTGTATGTGTTGTGTGTATGAATTTGACTTAAATGACCTAAAATGTCCAGGGAAAAAAAAGATCATCTTATCTCCATGGAATCGGACATAATTTTGAATGGACATAAAGTTGATCTTCCATTTCCTACTTTTTCAGATCCTTGATGACTTGCTGCGTGAGCTGGTGAGTAGATAGAAAGTTAGCATTCAAGATGGATGGCACAGAGTAACGACAAATTAACACGATTCAAAGCTTGACCATGTAAGTAAACAGAGAGAAAATTAAGCGCAAAAATGCGAGTAGTGAATCGGGTGAAGGAGTCGAGTTTTGACATTATCGAGTTTGGGCTCATATTTTTTATGAATTAAATGTGAGCTCCACTCGATAATTCAAAGACAAAATTAAGCGGGCAAACGAGTCGAGTTTTGACATTATCAAGTTGAGCTCATCAGCCGGAAAGCAAGCTTGAGCTCAAACTCGAGCTCGTTCCATTATAAACGAGCTCGAGCAGGTTCGTGAGCCTCGGCATAATTTTTTAAATATTATTAATTATTTTAAATATTTAAAATTTTATTAAATGTTTTAAACATTTATTATTAACTTTAAACATTAAATATTAATTTATTTTTATCTATTAAATATTTTAAACATTTATTGTTATTATTATTATTATTTAAATATTTAAATTTACTAAATAAAATAAAATTATTTAGAAAATATTAACAATTATTCTAGCCGGCTCGCGAGCTCACGAGCCGAGCCTCATCAAGCTCGAACTCAACTTGTGTGCTAGATAAACTTGGCCTGTGAGCCCATAAACGAGTCGAACTTGAGCTTGCTCGACTCATTTAGACCCCTAGATGTGCTTACCATTTTTATCCGATCTTTTCACTACAAAATGTTAGATAATAAAACCACATCTTAGATTTGTATTTTCTTACTTTATTGTTTCGGTATATAAGCCATGTATTTGTATTAGTTTTAGTTTAAGAAAAACATATTTTCTCCATTTGCTTTCTGGCTTTCGTTTCTATACCATTCTACATGGTATCAGAGGCAACCAAAAAATCACCAATACTTTTTAACATACACAAATAGTTCTTAAATGTGAACCCAAGAAAATTGTTGCCCAATTAGAAGCTGCCCAAATTGGGGCCTCACCTTGATAGAGTTTCACGCCTGCTTATTGAATCTCATACAACTAAAATCCAACAAAAGGAAAGCTTCCATAAATTTTCCACCAAAAGAAGTCATTCGAACTTAATCTTGCAAATCTGCACAGCAAAACAGAAAAATCAGCAGGGTTCCATAGCACACTTCTATTTGTTTTCGCAAACTTTCTTTGCCTAAAAACTAGGCTTAGAAGACTGTGAAGTTGTCCATCATTTCATTTGATCGGATGATTAAGATCTTACCTCTCATTTCAAGGGAATAGCTTCGGTTCTATATTTCATTTCCTGAAGTTAATAAATACTTGATATGGCTTTCTAGCTTTATAATATATGGAGTTCTTCGTTTCATATGTACGGTTAGGCTGAATGCACAATATTATTTTATATTTCCCACTTGACTACTATCTTAATTTATCCATAGACGGCAACAAAAATTCAAACTAATTTAAAACTATGTAAAAGGTACATTCTATTCAATAATAAACAAATATTTTAAAAAATACACCGATATAAAGTATAGATTTTGTTGACCACTGACCATCCCAAGATTGGCCTCATCTCATGTGATTCGAACAACGTAACTGTTTGCTCAGACGACACAACCATCGAATCCTTTCGTCCCAATTCCTCTCTCCATTTGAACTCACGTACGCAGATGATGAACCCGGCCTCTAACCTGAGCCCCTCTCGAGCTCGTTCGCTCGACATTGCACGCAGAAGCCCCCAGCCGCCGGCCCTCTCTTCCTCTCATTCTCTATCTACCACATACACAAGCCAATGCTGGCAAAGAAAGCTTAGTCAAGCCCTCTCGCTCGACCTCTTGTACTCATCTAACCTGACACACCCAGCCGCCCAACCTGAGCCCTCTCTACATCTCACTATGTCGAACTCAATTAATCTAAATACAACGATAACACACCAGAAATCACACAACACAATTAACTCAAAGAACATGATGATTTTTGTGGTTCTATGAATGGTGCCTATGTCCACGCCCCACAGGGAGAGAAGATGATTTCACTATACTAGAGAAAAGAATGATTATAATTCGCTCTCTCTCTCTCTCTTGCTCTCATGCATCTACAACATCCCTTGCCCCTCAATTTATATATTTGAGTTGAAAAAAATAAAGAAAAAACTTCCCAATCAAATCCTCAATTAAATCACCTAATTAGTAAAATAATCAGCTCCCTAATCAATTGCATTATTGATCCTTCAAAACTTCCAAATCAAGGCTATTTGGATTTGAAAAGCTTTCCAAATCAACAGTTGTATGCTTAAAATTTTACACCATATTATTTTATAGCATAAGTTTTGTGATAAAGAAGAAACAAAGATTCAAAGAATAACACAAAAAAAGCATTTCTATGTAAATTTAACAATGCAACACTTCTTAATATTCATATTCTTCCATTTCATCACACTGCCCATCATATAAGAGCTAATTTGAACTAGCATTCAACAAACTCCCTTAGTTTTCCCACTCAGAAGAGGTATGTTCTTCTCAATATGTTCTACCTGTTGACTCACAATCACAGCTTTGGGAATACCGCAAGCATCTCCATCTATCACATCATGACTAGGCCTAAGCTCTACAGTAAATCTGATTCGAGGGATTGGCACATCCACGGCGATGTCAATTTCATTCATTCCAATCTCCAAATGTGATAGGAACTTCTCTACCATTGGCCTCCCAAAATCTTCACGCACGACAACACGAAGAACTGTGATATGTTCAGCATGAGCTGGTAGAGTGTAAGCTGGAACAATCCAGCCAAATCGTCGCAAGTTGTCTGATAACTTGAAAGCCAAGCTCTTCTTTTGGCCTTTGATTGAGAATGCCACAAGAGGCACACCTTCCTCTTTAGAGATAATCTCAAAACATCCCATCTTCTCCAATCCCTCTCGCAGAATTCTAGCGCTCTCCATGCAATTCTGCATCACTTTGCGGTAGCCCTGCAGATGATGGATCAATTAATAATATGATCAAATTTTGGGAAAATTATTAGGTCTGGATACATGACGTAGAGATATGTCCCGACTCTAATAAAATGTTGACACGTGGATATTCATTTGAATTTATTTTTTATTTTATATATTTAATGTGTCCGCTGAACTTCAAGTCAAGCGCATCAAAAACGCAGCCAAAACGCAAGTAAAGTACAGGTAAAGCACAGTCAAAGCGCAGTAAAAAATGGTAGTTAAAGTGCAACTAAAACGCGGGTAAAGTGCAGGTAAAACGCACAAAAAAATGAAACAAAAATGCACTCCACGTGTCATTTTTTAAGTGGATGTGTGGATGTATCTCTAAGTCTAGTGTCCGGACCTAATAATTTTTTCCAAATTTTGAAGTTGAACATCTTATTTGATAAAGTTTACCTCAAATCCTAAACGCAAGAACTGGTAGTATTGTGCAATAATTTGACTGGATCCTGAACAAAAGATAGAACTTAAAACTTTAGATGTTATAATGATGTAACAAAAGAGAGACAAAATCATAAATTGCAAGCAACATTTCCTTACGACAATAATAAAAGTGAAAACAAGAACCTTTTGAAAAGTTAAGTGTGAAGGTGGGCTGATCAGCTCCAAGATAGTTGATGTGGAAGATGAGCTCTTCAGGCAAATCCTCTTTGTTCCTCCAAATGACCCATCCAATACCAGCATATACCAGGCCATATTTGTGTCCACTTACATTTATACTTTTCACTAATGGCAGTCTGAAATCCCATTCAAGTTCAGGAAATAAGAAGGGCGCGATGAATCCACCACTTGCAGCATCAACATGTATGGGAGTATCCCACCTGCCATTGATTTGAATAAGAAAATTCTTCCAAATAATCTATCTAATTCAACTTTTCAATAAGTAGCTTTCTATTAAGTTATTAAGAATTTAAACTGCATGGTTTCAGTTTGCTTTTGCATAATTCTGAGACTGATAGATTTAATTAGGAAATGTTGTATACCCTGTTCTTTTGTTTTTCTGCATCAGGAGCTCATTAAGAAGCTTCACATCTTCAAACTCTCCATTAAGTGTAGAGCCCAAGATGGCGGCAACACAAATAGTGTTCTCATCCACCAACTCCACGGCTTTCACAGGATCCATGACATAAAATCCCTCCCTCAGCTTAACTTCCTTGAGCTCCACCTCAAAGTACCTTGCAAACTTTTCCCAACACACCTATTTTTATGAAGTTTCAAATTATAAGGTAATGTGGATAAAAGTATGGCAAAGTTGGGCTGATACAATAATTATCAAACTCCTTCTGAACTTAAGAATCTAAGCTTACAACGAAGACCAACTAAAAGTATTTTTCATCAAAATATTTTAAGTTTCATCAAATGTACTACTGATGTAAACAAGAGCGGATCCACCTTAAGGTCAGGGGGAGCAATTTGCCCCCCTCAATGTATTTTTTAATCATTATTATAAGGAATTTTAGGCAATTGCCCCCCCCCCCCCTAAAAGTTTTAAAATACTATGATTTTTATGCAATTGCCCCAACATAATTAAATACATTGTATAGAGATATTATTGTCAGAGAACGATGAACCAAATACAAAGAGAAATAGTAAATTGAATTCAAAAATATCCTTACACCCAAAATTTGTTCCGGGGGCGTTGCTCCCAGAAACCCCCGCAAGTCGAACCTTGCTAGGGGGCGTGCCCCCTAGGACCCCCGACATATATGTGAAGCGTATAACGATGAACAAATAAGGGTCGAGAGGCAGCGCCCTCAGAACAAATTTTTGTTGTAAGGATATTTATGGGGAAAAAAAGAAACTCTACATTTTATTTATAAGTTTGTCCTCCCTGAAAGTTAAGGTCGGATCCGCCCTTGGATGTAAATTAACCACCGCAAATTAGCTTCAAAATCTACTCATACGATATGTTAGACAGTATGTTGCCAAATTTATTTCCAATCAAAATATTTAAGCCTGTAAATAAGGATAATCACTTGTATTTCTATACCAACAAATTAAAATATGAAACTAAATCCAAACCAGAAGAACTTGAGCTCATACAGCTTCCAACCTGTACGTTAGCTCCAGTAACAATATTCGGCTTATCAAAGGGCTTCCCCTCAGCCTTCCTCTTCTGCTGCCACCTTTTCTTAAAAGCTAATCCTGCGAGCATTATAGCCTCTGAGGACCCAACAGTCCCTACGCCAACTGCTGTCTCCTTGCTCAAAATTGGTGCATTGAACAAACGTGCAATAATATTCACGCAACGGTTCTGATAAGCCAAAAAAGAAAAAGATCAATCAATGGGTTGTGATGCAGAAGGTTTAGAATTGATTATAATATAAATTATATTGTTGCCTGGAGCTCAGTTGTGACAGGATACTCATCCATGTCTGCGTAATTTTTGTTTATGCCTTCCATGATGAGTTTATCACATTCAGGTTCCATCCATGTGGTTACAAATGAGGCTAAATTCAGCCTTGGGCTGCTATCTAGCAGTAGCTCATCATGAATTAGCTGGTAAGCTGCATCCTTTGACATTGATTTTTCTGGCATTGTATACCTGCAAAAGCATCAACCATCAAAAGTCCTTTCTTCCCCCACCCTCCCCCCTACACGAGAAATTATTCTGTGCGGAGGCCGGACAAAGAATGACATCCGGAGACCAATCAGAATGCACCATATCAGTAGTACCAAGCTGCGGTACCAAACAAAGGAATGACGTGGTGCATACTAGCCATCCTCCAAAAAGAAAAATATGTTATAGTGTGGGATTTTCAATTTAAGGAAAAAAGTTCATATTTTTTATAATAAAAATATAATAAATCAGTAGATTTAGATTGGACTTTTGAGAGTCTATTATTAAATTGTTGCCAATGGAGGCACATTATTTTATCTTGTAATATATTTATTCATATTTTTGTCAACAGGTTGTTTTTACCTTGCAGTAGTCTTTTAACAAAGCAAATAGTTTTCTCATAAAATAGAAAATTTTGGGTAGCAAGAAAGAAAAATGAAAGGGTATCCCTATCCAGGATGAACTTAAAAAATTAATATGTGATAATTTTATTATACTTAAATGGCATGAAGTTTTCATGAAATGAATAAAATAATAATAAAATATTAAGAGACTTTTATACAACTAAATGAAAAAATGTTCAAAATGATATCTTGACTTTTTATAAAAGATCAAAATTGTCCATAATTATTTAAAAGATTATTTTGGTTCCTCAACTCCTTACAAGAAACAAAAATAATCCCACTGTAAAACTATTTTGATTCATTTTTAAAAATTTAAGTGATCAAATGATTTTTTAATATTGTTGGAACTATTTTGATCTTTCGTAAAGAGTGAATGAATCATTTTGATATTTTCTCATAACTGAACAAACAAGCATCATAAAAGATTATCAAGTGTCAATTTTTTATGATAAAAATTTAATCAAGATGTTTTGATTCAATTTTTTTCAAGATAAATTATGCTCCATCCTCATCAACTTTCCAAAAAATATGTAGTCAATTTTGTAAAGAATTATGCAGTTTAAAATTAATATCAAGTTTTAACTAAATTCAATCAAATATCCACAAACATGATTCTAACTTAAAAAACTTCAACCAAACAAGCTGGCCTTCAAATAGAATCATGAGAACATAAAAGCAAGGTAGGTAAGTTTTGAGCTCACCTAGGAACAGGTTCCTGCACATATCTGGAGGCAAAAACTGGACTAACAAAGGAAGATGATCCGTCCTCTGACTCTCTTGACACAACAGAAAGAACCATGGCTGATTGATTCTGTTAGAACTCCAAAGTAGTTTTACTCGTAGGCTTCTGTTTGCACTCAGAAGCCGCTAAAGAAGAATTATTGTGCTTTACTTGCCTTTGTTGGCTTAAGGGGCACTTTATATAGCTGAGCTTTGTAAAGGTTCTTTGCTTTGCCTTCGACTTAAACGCTTGCGTGTAATTGTATTTCTTTCTACTTAGAAGTTAAAACTCTTGCACTCTCTTCTACGTTTCTTTGCTTTATTGTTTTGGTTCCTGAAGATATTCTTCACTCAAAATTACAATTTATTTCATGACTCTATAGTGAGCATTTAGAATGTTTTCTTTCATGACTTTACTTTCTAGACAGATCTTAACGCTTCTATTTAGCTATTACCTTTTTTACCTCTTTTTTTTTTAGAAATTTGTTTGATTTGTATATGGTGAGCCATCAGGCCATCACAATTTGTACTAAAAAAATGTATCTTAGAAATCAAAATTTAACCAAATTTCTTGACGATATTAAGCTCAAATCAAAATTAATGGGCTACGCCAAACACAAATCAGCTCAAATCAAGATGAGATCAACCAAAACTATAATGATCATATTGCATTGCTTAACCCAAACATAAGCCAATTGACTAATTGATCAAATTAACCTGTATCCGATTGATTATTGAGCCATTAGCTTCCTTAGGACCTAAGCCAACCCTAGGTAGCAAGGCCTAGTTGGCTAGCTCCCAACCCTTGGTTTGCTAACTAAGCCTAGTTGGGTAGCACTCAATCCTTGGCTAACTCAAATTGATCTTAGCACCACAATTGGAATCATGGAAGCTTCATCAAACTAAACTAGTTCCATAGCTCTTTAAAATGACTATGTATGTTAGGAAATTGTGAGGAGTCTTGAGAGCTTCTTGAGCTCTTCTTGGCCATCTTGCAAGAGAGAGAGAGAGAGAGGGAGAAGAGGGAAAAGAGTAGAATTTGAAGGAGAAAAACTAGCCTAAAGCTTTATTCAAAATTTTCTCAAATTTAATACATCACATTTGACCTCTATTTATATAGATTTACTTTTGATGTGATAACATGCAGAAATAAAAATAACCTAGAACTAAATCAATTCATAACAATCTCCACATTGATTTAGTTTTACAAATAAAAACAAAGAACCACTCTATCACAAGAACTTGTGCTTGTTGCAATCCGACCGACTGCTTCGGACTCCTGTGCGTGCTCCTACCTGCGACCTCGCATAATCCACCCTTCTGATTCCAAGTTCTCGCCCATCTTTTCACCCCGAGGTTCTTGATTATCTATTTTTTGTCTCCGCAACTCTGACACACCAAATCTAATGCCCATCTTCTCCGATCAACCCGTAATCTGACCCGAAAGCTCCACCTCAAAGATCTTGACCAATCATTAATCAAGAACAATGAAATAATGCTTTCATTCATCATGATGCCCTGTCCGTCTCGATCAATGCGGACCTCTTTCTCTTCTTGCATGAATGCCACCCCCCCTGCCTGTTCAAGAACCTCGACGTCTCCTTGCCACACCCCTAGAGAACCACACGCAGTCTCCACCCATGCGGCCTTCACCTACACAAACCTTCCTGCTCTATGAACTAGAAGCTACATGTCCGTTTCCGCAAACACGAATCTGTCGAACCCTTTCTTAATTCACCTCAAGAACACTTTCCTCCTTCCCCGATCACCTCAACGAGGCTCTGATACAATTTGTTAGGAAATTCTGAGGAGTCTTGAGGCGATTTCCAAGTCATTTCTGACAATCTAAAGTTTCATATGGTGGCCCATGTTCAATATTTCTTGTGACATTGATCAAGAGAGCAAGTCAAGGACATTAAGGAGATCAGCCACAACAATTGTCCTTCTTGACCTCAAGCAAGCACCAGCTAAGGTGCATCCTCAAAATTCCTAAACCATAATTTTATTTTACCATGAGCACACACCAAATGATTATCAAAGACCTTTAGTTTTCCGCTTTATATAGCATTCCAAGCTGAGCGATTTAAGCTCGTAGATCTTTAAAATTGATCCACAATGACTCTAAAATTCCGTTTGAAAGTTCATCAATATATGAGCTATTTAGAGGTGAAAGATGTTGTTCTAATCGTTGGATTAAGAGAATTTTGATCTAACGATTATTATGTTGTCATATGAGAAGTTCTTAAGATGATGAGGCGTTCTGTTCTTGATTAATATCTTGGTTAAATTATAAGTGTCAGTTGTAATGGTGGTCGTTCGATAATCTAGTTAAGAGAGTAATGTATTATATTTGACCTACATCAAGAAATTCTATAGGAAAGTCGGCAGTTTGTGGTGGACTTTAACTGCAGACTTTATGACGGATTTTTTTTTTTGTCAAAAATGGATATGGATTTGCTACGAAAGTTTTTGATAATTTTTTTTTTTTGCTTCGGATTTGCAGAGGAAATGATCGTCGTGAGTTATGATATAAATAATATGTTGGCTCCAAAAATTCGGCCCCGGCCTCCGCCCGCTTTGCTTTTCTTCGGGGGAGTTTTAACGGATTAAGTTCCGAAATAAATTTTGTGAAGGCAGATAAGTTTGTAGATATGACACTACCGAGAGATTTCACCCTCATTTTGTGAGGACTTTATGATCTGAGTTCTGGTCTCCTATAGGCGCAAGCCCGTATAGTTAATTACCCCTCCCGATAATGAGAGAGAACTTTCAATTAAGGCTAGTCATCAATCAGATACGTGTAGAGTACATGTTATATGGCATATAGTAGCAGCATAGGGCTTAGGTATTTAAAAGTTTGAAGATTTTATATTTAGAATTGGAAATTTCATCATCTTGCACTTAAAGCGGATGGTGGGGCCCCATCGATCATGTTATAGGTATACACTTGACATCTAAGGATGCTGTATGGGTCAAATGATGAAAGATGATGAAGTTTCTACTTTAAATATCAAATTTTTCAACACTTCAAACTTCAACTTCAACCCATGCTGCTACTATATGCCAGATGCACGCATCTCTACGTATCTGATTGACGGCTAGCCTTAATCGAAAGTTCTCTCTCATGATCGAGAGGGGTAATTAATTTTAGGGGCTTGCGCCTATAGGAAACCAGAACTCAGATCATAAAGTCCTCATAAAATAAGGGCGAAATATCTGGGTAGTGTCTTATCTACAATATCTTCTGCCTTCCAAAATTTACCTCGGAACTTAATGTGTTAAAACTCCCCTCAAAGAAAAAGCAACAGCGAGCGGAGGCTGGGGCCTAATTTTCGGAGCCCACAGTGACTTTTCCAAACAAATTTCTTATGTCTAGTGCATGCGGTTGCAAGTTTAGCTAGAAAATTGAAGATCCCTAAACCAATCGGATTGCCTTTCGGCTCAGATCAACGAGCTGACTAATGAGTCAAGTGTAACTTGAATCATATTTGAATTAAGTAATACCTTGATAGGGTCGAGCTAACATATAGTGCATGTATCTTTAAATGCATATACACATATTATATATATATATTTATATATGTATGACTGTATGAGCAGCGTATGAGTGCCTATGTGTGTATTTATATATGCCAAATATGAATGGGAAATGATTCATTTGCACGATTTGTGAGCATTGATTTGATAAATTTTAATAATAAAAAGGAAAAGTCAATCCTTCAAATTTATAAGTAATCTTTCTACATATCATAACAATCATAACAAGAGAAATATGGGATTCTTAAAAAAAAAAAGGTCTCTGACCTATTATTAGTTGTCGATTGAAACTAACGATCGCATTCACTTGCTAAACGATCCCAATTCCCAACTATCAATTAATCGACACCCATCATTATTTGTGACATGATAATAATTGTTAATTGATATCGATGATTGTTTTATTTGTCCAGCATTGACTAATGATTCACACTAACACACATCATATAAGCATTAACTTTTTTGAGAAATTTATATGTTTATATTTTTAAATGGAAAGTAAAATTGATTCATTGTAATTAAAATAATAAAAAATAGTAAAAAAAGGAAGATGAAATTTTCTTGCTTGAAATTTTATAAACCCTCTTTAGGGGCTTAGCATAGTTTACAATTTTTCTTTTTCTTTAGGCTTTGATTTTCACTTTAAAAGAGATCAACCATGTATTTCATGAGGCATATATAACTTTGAGTAATTGTGCAGTCCATATGACGAGGCTACAATCTTCCTTCGAAAAAGTGGGTAACTGATCTCGTTAAAGAAATTGGATTTTAAGCAGAGGTACATGAAGTTCTATTATGATGATCATAAATCCCATTAAAGGGAAGCTTACAATCCTCGTGGATGGATAGGATCGAAGGCGGAGGTATTTGATGTTTGTAATCCATAAGATAATGCTATGTTCTTCCTCTAAAAATGAGATTGAATGCTCTAATTGGATATGCTTGATCTGATAAGAGAGAGGTGTTGAGAGTCTTATAATCTTGATGGGAAGATTATCATGTTTGACTAAAATGAGATAAAATATCCTTAGTGGGCACATTACGTTCGAGCTTGGAGAGGTTTATATGATGACTTATTAGAAAGTAGGAAGATTAGGAATTTGATTTTGATTATTTTTTTACATTTTTTTTGCTAATTTTTCCTTCTTCTTGGTTGGATCATTTTGTTATATGAATTCTTTTTTCCTAACATTTCTTAATGCATAATTCTCCCGTTATCGCAATAAAAAATATCTTTATTTTTTAGTTTTTTGATATTGACATTGCACAATTTATCCTAAATTTTAGACTTTCTCGATGTCTAAAATGCTAAAATTTTAGACTTTCTCGATTTTTTAGGAGGTTGAGGACCAAGAAAGTGGTATGTGGCATTGGTGATTAACAAACATAAGATTTCAATTATTAATATGCTTATTGTAATTATTGATTTGAGAATGTCATAGGTCAAACAACATCAAATAATCAAATTCAATCATTTTTTTTTTTTTCTTAAGAGAGGATAGATTGGAAGATCATGATGCTAATGCCATATTTTATACTTAGTAGTTGGTTGAATTTAGATAGCAATGCTAAGAGGGTGTTAATAGTGGTAGATAGTTGGTGTAGTTGTTATTGGGCAGTGACAACCACCTATTGATGGTGGAGATAGTGGATATAAAAAATGATCAATAACTAATATAGGATGTTGATGGTTAGAATTTTAAAAATGTTTAGTTCCAAAGTTCTCTTCACCAAAATCATCTCTCAAAGCCCTTTAGCATGTAAAAGCATGACATATTTGTAGGTAATTTTTGGAGGATGTTTTATGGTTATTTGAACAAGAAAATGAGGACATCCATTAATCGATCATAGTTGATATATTGATCATTTAGTATTTTTTAGATATCCTATAAAATTAATGATTTCCTAAGATCATTCAGTGAAAATAGGACCATTTATATTTGAATTCATATTAGAGTGTTTGACTTATATCGATTCAGATTTGAATTAAAATGATATTGATCTTGTTGGGTTCATCTACATAAAAAGATCGTTTTGATTATACATTTGTAAAAAATATAATTTTAATAATGATAAAATTAATAAAATTATATTTGATTTGAATAATTGGAATAAATAATTTATGCTGGGGGTCCACGTTATGGTCCGGCCCCTTAATGCCAACTCTTCCATCCTCATGATTGCTGTTAATGAGCAATTGCCCCCTCGACTCGGACAGTTGTCCAGTTGTCCCTATCAGGCTACACCTGCACGATTATTCTATGCGGATACCAGATGGGAGAACCGTCCGGTACCGTTTGGTACCGAGCATCAGTATTTTGCTTGGTACCATGCACGGTACACTTTTGAGATGACATACATGACGGATTTTTGTTGGTCTCTGGACGTTGTCCAGACTCAGCACAGAATATTTTTTTTTCGCTCCACGCCCCAATCACGTGACCCCAAAACTACGCTCGCGCCATGAAAATCCCACCGTTGCCACTGATCTCACCCGAAGCTAGACTAATTGCCATGAGAAAATGTGGCGGTTCTGATTTGTAATGCATTGTAAAAGCCATTTGAACGTTAGATGGGGATCGGAGGGCTATGGGTGGTGGTATTCGTGACAGAACTGGAGCGGAAGGATCTCACCTGGTGTTAAAGCCAGTTAGCCAGGTGATAGCCGATAGGAACCCCAATGCATATGAAGCCGGGGATTTTGTAGGTCCAACGGTTGGGCTTAACAAGTAGTGTCCGTTTAAGGAACGTGAAGTGCTCGCCTGCCATTACTGAGTTACAGGGGGAAGCTTTAATTGTGAAAATGCTCCAAGGCATGATGGACATGCTCCAAGGCATGATGGACAGGCCCGCATTAATTGTAATAACCCAAAACAGTTGGTCACCGGAGAGAAATTATTAATATGTGTATAGATTTATATACAGGGGCGGAACCAGCCCTAATTTTTAGGGGGGACGAATTTATAAGACATATATGTCGGGGATTCAAGGGGGCAGTGTCTTCTGGCGGGGTTCGACTTGTTGGGGGCAATTATCTAAAGACCATAATATTTTAAAATTTTTAGGGGGGGCAATTGCATGAAAACCCTTGTAATAAAGACTAAAAAATGAATAAAAAGGGATAAATTACCTAAAAAACCATATAAAAAAATTTTAAAAAATTTTTGAGGGGGGGGCAACTGTTGCCCCCCCTGGAACCTAAATAATAATTTTTATAATATTTTATTTTTATTTTTTGGATTGATAAGTAATAATCTTCTTAAACCTTCTTCTTCAAATATTAGACAACATATAATAAGGAAGTTGGGTGACATTTGTTAATGATTTTCTTATGTAGATGCAGGGGCCATATTATCATCTTAAGTTAAAAGTTGATCGATGAATGCTATTTATATGATATCAGCTAGTTGATGTTGGACCGTAAATGTCAGCCATCTAAGATTTGATAGTTCATATCAGTTGATGATGATGGGTGACGATTGACATTGGGAGATTATCATCAACAAAAATTAAGAGCCATACATCTTTGAACATCAATTGATTGAATATGTTGTGTGATGTTAATGAATGGTTGATGTCGATGAAGGGAATCGATCATCGAGTATTGGAAGGCAGTCAACTTGGTTTTTAATTTTTTATCCTTAAGATATTAGATATAAAAAGAAGACGTTCAATTTGGATGATTAGCGAACATTAAATGTATTTTTTTCTATAAACATTGAAAGTTGGACATTAGGAAAAGGTTAACTCTATCATTTTTATATGAATAACACCAATCAATCCAATAGTTGCATGCTAAAGATCGATGATTGAAGGACATTAGACATATGTTGTTGATTGATACCAAACATTGGTAAATGCACACGTTAGGAAAAAAGGGCGAGCTTAATTGTTCACCTTATATGAGGAAAATTTGACGACTTGACATGCATGTGTCAAATTACGATGGCCAACAAATATTAGATCTATGCTATTATAAGACATCAAATATTATTGAACATAAAATATCATGTGCGGGTTGGCTTAGTCCTTTTCTCATAGGAAGCGAGATAAGGTGACCAATAGATGAATGTTGAACATCACCAATCAACATATGTTGAATGCACGAAAGGTTGGTGATAAGCATTGCTATTATTTGAGGGTTGTATTAATGATATGAGATAGTTTGTGCCAAAATTGATTATTAACTAACACCATTTCTTAGGTGATGATGACCATCAACATCATTTAATGACTTAGGTTGAGTGAAGAAATGTTGATTTTCTTATGTGACTTGATTGTAGACATAATGTAAAATTGGTTGGCGAATATTTAATGGATCTATAAACACTTTAGTGGTCATTTGATAGGTCTCAAAATTGGCCAAACTCCATAATTCCTTACAAATTTGGAGTGCTCCCCATGTAGACTGTGAACAAATTATGAGAAATTAGGCATACTGGTATATTTTAAATGAGATAATTTGGTCTTTATATAATTATCATATTCAAGTTTCCTTTCTTATCAATAATGATCACATCAAATTGAACCAATTGCCTAACTAAAAGTTACTATACATTCTCATCCTTAGCTTCAGATCAACCTACCCAAACCACAACAAGGTTAACTCTCAATCAGCAGAGGTGGTGAGATGGTGTCTACTACTGGTGACGAGCTTGATTGATAAACAGAATGAAACGTCTCCAAACTCTTCATGCCATGAAAACTTGGAGCTTTAGTGGAATTCTTTCTATCACAAAAGTGAAGAAGTTGGACATAATCTTAGTTGATTTGATAATATCTAATAGTATAAAATGTTAATAATAGATCACGAATTGAATTTATTATTTTGTCATATCATCAAACTCATGCTCATGGGTCTACAAGCATGAGTGCATGCATGTGAGAGATGTGTATGAGCTTGCCCTTAAATAGTTAAATTTACTAAAAAAAAAATCTTCAAAATTAATCTACCAATCTCCCACCAAGCAATCACACTTTGCATGCAATAAGTAGTTATCATCATCTATCATTGCCACAGGTGACCAACATTAATGCCTTGCTTCCATCCATTTAAAAAAAAATCATAATGGTCCAAAAATATTCTATAATAATAATAATAATAATATCAAATAAAAATATATTTCTTTATTTACACATGTTACTATCATGCCCCTATGCTACCTAAATTAAAGAAAAGGAAATATCAGCTTTTGTTTATTTGTAGAAAGAAAGCAGTTAAAAAATATTTTATTTATTTAATTTCAAATAATGTTTTTCAAAAGTCAGCTTATTATCATCTTATTTATTTAATGTTAGTGTCGAATTCAAAATTTTAAATTTTTATAATTTTTTTGTTTATGTATATAATATAATTCATATAAATTGAAAAAAATTATCTCAAGTATATATTTATTTTTTAAAGTTAAGTATTATATATTTGCTTGAAGAATATATTTTTTATTAAAAAAAATCATTCTTAATAATTGCGATCTCCGTTTTTTAATGGCTTTTGCTTGCCTTTATCAAGTCACGTGTACTGTACTATTATATGATTTGTCGGTCAAACCCATTTGGTTCTCCCTAAATGATCACTTTCTCTCTTTATCTTCCTCAACCGGAGGGTCCATTCAGGCCACTTCTTCCCCTGCTTCCCTTATCTTTCCCAAAATACTTCTTTTATCTGTTGCCTATTTTGTTCTTTCCGTCGGCGCCGTAGATGGAGTTGGAGCTGAGGCTTGGAACCTCGCCGGCGAGACCATTAAAGAAGGCCCTCGTCGGTGGTGGCGGCAGAAGACCGACCACCGGTCTAAAGTTGGGTTTTTGCAGAGCGGAAGGTGAGAAAGATGCCGTAGAAGTGCGTAGGGGAAGAGAGGTAGAAGAAAGGTGTTCTGTTGATTCGCCGGCGCAACTTAACCTCCACCTTCCCGCCCACCATCTGCCGGGCTATTCACGGGAGAGGGAGAATAGTAAGAAATAAATAAATAAATAAATTATATTTTTATTACTTGTTATTGGTGAAATGATTTTATTTATTTGTTAATTATGTTAAAAAGCGGGTCTTGAGGTTCCTGCGAAAGAATTGGACGTGAACCTGATGCCGTCGGCGAACAGCCCGTCGTCCTCCGACCGAATAAATTTTTCAGGAGGCGGCGGCGGCGAGCAAGGAGGTGCGGTGGCGGAGGAGAGGTCGTCGTCTAGGTTCAGCGAGGAGGAGGAGAACGGCGGGGCAAGGAAGAAGCTTCGGCTCTCAAAGGAACAGTCCGCCTTCCTGGAAGAGAGCTTCAAGCAGCACAGCACCCTCAAACCGGTAAGCTTACCTCCTTCATAATTACTATATGTCAGATGAAAACTTAGTAATTGTGGTGAATAAAAAACTTCTTTTTTTTTCGTTCGTTTGTCGATTAACCTTTCAGAAGCAGAAGAGCGCCCTCGCAAAGCAGCTCAATCTCCGGCCACGGCAGGTGGAAGTTTGGTTTCAGAATCGCCGAGCAAGGTATTATTATAAGAACCACCACCACACCGAGAGCTTTATTTTTAAAATTATAAGATTTTTTTTTTCTTAAGTTTTTCCCATTGAACTGTAAAAATCATAACTGTTAAAATTTATTTAAATTAATACTACATGCGAAGAATTTATAATTTTATATTATATTAAATTTAAAATAAATTAAGCTCATTTTTTCTTTTATTTCTTTCGATGAAAACAATTATGTCAAATAGTTTTGATATAATTATATTACAATGAAATTAAAA